GGAGCCGATCCAGAAAAACGGTCAGCTCCAGCTTGATTATCACACCCAAGCATGATAGGAAATTCCATGACAAGTTCTCCGGATCCGGTACGTCTAGTAGCTTAGATGTGTGCTCCAGGGGTGGAACCTCGTGCCCTTCTTCGTTCTGCGCAGGCACACTAGCTGAACCAGCTAGATGCGGATCAAGGCGGGGAAGCGGCTTCGTAGCCGATGAGGGAGTAAGTGTGCTAACCACTTTGTCCCGCTGAAAGGTGAGGCCCGTCACCACGCTTTTGCGGGGCAAGAACGTGTTCCCCAAGGGCGCGGTGCCTCCTTCCCGACACGGAACCATCATGCCGGACAAGGCGGACCATATGTCCCTCCTTGACGACGCACGTGCTTCTCGGTAATAATGATTTTCATCCTCAGAAGGAACAATCCATGTCCTATAATGTTGCCACTTCTCCCGCAGGAGCAGAAGTGCCGTTAGCGGTTTGGTGTCCACGAGATGCCGGAAATCATCCGACATTGTGAAGTCAAGCCCCCCTGTGTCTCGAGCAAGTCGCGGTAGCAGAGCTACGCCAAATTGCCCAACCAGCCACAGGCGCCAATTGCCGCCAACTCCAAGGCGCGAGAGTTCAATCTCATATTGCTCATGAAGGAAGTGAACTCGGGAACGGTGGCCATTGAACACCGATGTAGCTCCAAACGGGTCTGTTTCTGGATCCAGCTCAAGATACACCGACCGCGTCCGACATCTAGACCCGTCTGCTGTTGCGACCCAAAGGTTTGGCAACTTTGGCCTCGAGGACGGCGATTCCCAACCAACCATGTTGAGAAACAAAACATGTGAAACCATGTCTTGGATTGAAAGAGAACTAGGCTGAAATGCAGCGGACTCATGAGTCTCGATGATTGTTTCGCAAATAGCGTGCGAATCGTATGACTTGACGCCCAAAGTGACGAAAAGCGTCCTCCGTCCTGAGCTACGCTCGCTCGCCGCAACGTCTGCTGAGACTTCGAAGACACCAAGTCCCCTGGGAATGTGCGGTTGGTCCCCCGTTGGCGGGAAATAGATATCTGCATAGGTGGGCGCGATCCACTCGTCAACGCCGCTCAAGGGTACAATGGGCAGCTGTGAGATCTTTGGCAGGAGGGAATCCGAAACTGAATTGATAGCCGCTGAGCTCAGAATCGAGCACACTCGCTCATGCCACGCGGTGGGCTTGCTCCGAAAATCTGCCTCGCGCCTGTGGATGAACAGCGAAAGCTCGTCGACGAAGTCCTCGACAGACATGGTAACGATGCCCAGTCTTTCGAAAAGCTCGTCGTGGCCATGTGGATACTTCTCAGACAGGAACTTGGCGTCGGCGCTTCCAAACGGCAGCAAAAGTTCCCCGTCTAGGCCTCGGAGGTGTCCCGGGATATACACAAGCTCAGATGGACGGTAGAACCTGCCATCCTCAGACTCGAAGATGGGATTCTCTTTGAGCACGCTGATAACCTTGTTAGGAAGCTCCTCAAGGCTCCCACGTCGGCGTAGCTGAAGGGGAACAAAGGGAAGCCAGGAATACCTCTGGTCCCCCGTATTGAAGTGCCCAACAGCACGCAAGAATGCTCCCGGAACCTTTGCCAAGAGGGATTTGTTCCAAGGGGAGTCCTCGACGTCCTCGCGGTAAGGGTTGAGGACAAAGTCCGCTTGTATTATGAACTAATTAATGCAAAACATCAGCCGACAGCCCGGTATAATTACAGGCCAATGAAACAATGCGACATACCATGAGCCCAAAGTCTGCAACCGGCAGGAATGTATACAGATCCTCAGACTTGGGTTCGCCGGTTGGGAACGCGAGCATGAGGTCCGATTTACCGCGGCCGCTGCGTTGAGCGTCATAGCCCAGTTCTGACACCTCCTCCCGAAAGACCCGGTAGGATATGTGCTGGACACCATCCTTGAGGATGCTGTGCACCGACGTGTTGTCTATGCCGAATGATGTGACCCGCCGCTCCAGGGATGTTTCCCAAGGCTTGATGTCCTTCTGCAAGATCTTGATCTTTACTTCCTTAAGTTTTCTGAGGAACAGCAAAGCCGGTTCTAGTGATCTGAGCTTCGCAACAAGCTCGTTTGCATCGCATCCAGAATCAGGAAGCAAGCTTAGCAGAATCGAAGTGTGTCGCGGTAGGCGTTGCCGAGGGAATACTTCCCACACTGGCGTTACTGAGCCCAGTTCTACCGTTTTCTCGCTGACCAGCTTGAACGAGTAGAAGCCCGAAGTGATCCAGACAGAATCAGAGAAGCTGAAGACGGACTTGAAACCGAGTCCTTTCTCCCCGATGCGGCTGGGATCGCCCAGCTTTTGACCATTCGCAACACTGCAGATAGCCTCGATGTCTTCGGCGCTGAAACCAATTTCGTTCGAGTCGATACGCAGTGTTTTCCCATTGGCGTTGTCCGTGTACGTGATCGTCAGGATCGGTCTTGCCCGATCATGGTATTTGTTGTCGTCTGCGTTCTGCAACAACTCGTAAAGGAACCGAGTTGGGGTGGTGTTCGGTCGGCCAAACCTGAGTGAGTATTATTGTTAGCATAAGTGCCATGGAGAGAGACAGGAATAAAGGACAAAAAAATAAAAAAAAAAAGAGACGAACGAAAGGGAAAGAAAAAGGCCGAAAGAAGAGGAAACTCAAGCAAACACACAAGATGAGGCACTTGTGTAACTCATTTCCAGCCCGGCCACTTTTGTCCGCCTGTCTCTGTGCCCAGAGTTGTTCGATGTGCTTTCGAGCAACGCCCTTGGATTTAGGAAAGGACCGTTCGTATCTCTTCAACCATCCTCCAGGCATGTCTGGGAGCGAATTGCCATCTCCAGTGGCATCAGCTTTCCTAACCACCTGCCGCTCATCTTCCAAATTAGGATCCAGGGGACGATTGCTGGGAGTTCCCAACTCAGAGCCTTCCCAGACGTTTTGAGTGAACGAGACTATCGCTTCGTATAGAGACTGCAGCATATTGAAAGATGGAGGATGAGGGAAGAGGATATCATAATGAAGAAGCGGAAGAGGGGTAATGAGGCATCATCCATCTTCTCAAGTACCTTAGGTACCTTGGGAAAGGGCGCTCGTTTGAAGAACAGCTCGGAGCCGCGTTAGGCCGCGTAAGGGTTACACAACCATTCGCAGGGTTCGGGTGGAAAGTTCCGAGTTTGACGCTCGCAGAGTCATTGGATTATTGGTCTGCAAGGTAACGATAGTGCGAATGCGATGTGCTGAGTAATAACTTGAATAGAAGGGACCCATTATCGGGCATCAATGGACCAAGATGATCTCGCCAATGTGAAGGGAGGTCAGATAGGCGGCGTATCCGGAGCCAGCTCTAGATAAACGACCGGGCGCAGTAGTATTGCATGTAGTTACATGTACATATACATATCGTATCGATGACTCCAAGTTCCGACAGGAGGCTCAGGTGTAAAATGCTATACATCCATTATTTTCAGTTTGCAGCAGCCACGATGCACAGAGAAGTACAGTACAACGCCGACCCTTGCCGACCCTGCAGACAAGCAGAACCAAGCTGAACCTCCCTCACAAATTATGCCAGATCCCGGATCGAACTTCTCGCAGGCAGCCAGCTCACTCTCTAATAACCCCAAGCCTCCGGGAGCCGAGACCCACCAACATGAAACCTCTCTCCATCATCTTCTTTACTCTCACTTTCGCCGTCACCATACCCTTCGCTCACTCGAAAGGCCTCGTCATCGATACCTATCTCTTCAGTGATGTTGAGTAAGCCGTTAGGCATTCCTTCCACTAGATCGCCACTTAATGCCCTGTCTCAGTGATATTTACTCAGTGATGCCGGTGCCCTCCTGCTCGCAGCCACATCGCCCGACATGGACCTCTTAGCCGTCAACGTCAACTGCCCATCACGCTACTCCGCCCTCACCGCATCCTAGCTCATTAGGGGCGCTCTAACCTCCCGATCGGCATTCCCCGTCCCCTAACCAACGCCACGTTCTTTGACAGCTGGTTCTACGAGCTAGGCGAGTATGCGAGCAAAGTCGCCTTCCATTTCTCAGGCGGCACTCTCCCCTGGGGCCGCGCCGAAGATGCCTGGGATCCGGTGGCTCTCTACCGCAAATCGCTCGCCGAGGCAGAAGACGGCAGCGTGACGATTGTCTCGATTGGCTTCCTGGATAACGTGTGTCCGATCACAGGGTGCGCCTTTTAGTAAGCGTGGAAGTCTGACATGAGGGACACAGCTCTCCGCCTTGCTCAACTCGACAGCTAATATCTACTCCAACTTCACCGGCGTGAGCTGGTTTCACGCAAACTCTCGGAGCTCGTAGTCATGGGCGGCGGCTATCCCTCCGGACGCAGCTGGAACTTCTGGGGCTCCAACGCCAGCCCCACCGCCCATGCCATCAACTCGTGGGAGGGGCGAGTGGTGTTCCTCGGGGACGACGTCGGCAAGGATGTGTTATGTGGGGCGCCACTGATGAGCCAAGGTCCCGAGGACGATCCAGTGAGGATGGCATATATCTACTACTCGTACTACAACCCGCGGCCGTCTTGGGATCCGCTGACTGTGCTGTATGCGATCTACGGGCTGGGCGGCCTGTTTGAGTTTGGGAGCGAGTACGGATGCAATCATGTTGAGCGGGACGGGACGAATCGATGGGTCTGGGACGAGGAGGTGAGGAATCCAACATTTCCTGAGGCTCAGGGTGGATAATGAAACTGCTGCTGATGAGGTAGATATGCTGTTGATGCGCGGCGCGCTATCGGCAGTGCCGGGACAGCATGACCCTCGGGCAAGGGGAGTACCCTGCAGCTCATGCAAGGATGAGGAGTTGTGATTGCTAAGGGGATGTGGGTGGACGGTGCATAGCATTCATCTCGTGCCCCTGGCGGTTGGCTGATGCCGTTGGCCGTCGCCTGGTCGTGCAACCTACTCTCTTGACCGGGCAGGAAAAAGGAGATGCCAATCAGAGAGAAAAGAGCCAAAAAGTGTGGTGAATCTCTCCCGCCGGGAATTGAACCCGGGTCTCGAGCGAAGTCATAGACCTGGTGGAGTCCGTTGACAAGCTCACATACTGACCACTATACTACGGAAGATTTGTGGATGTTTTCATCCACCGTAGCTTGGCGCTGGCTCGCTCCGAGACATTTATCAAACTCGGCACCCAGCTTCCATATCACCCCTAGAAAAAGGGCCACCAAAACAGGTGAGTGCTGAGGCGTTTCACGGGAATTTGTATTATCAATCCGACAAGATCTGTCCAATCTAAATCGACCACTCCTCACAACTGTGCATCGTGCCCAGGTCCTCGGAAGTGCTAGAATCGACGAGCTGCAGCAGTGCGTTGAGCTCATTACCAGGGTTTGCCTGAACTCTTTCTTGTCAAGGTACATTGTGCTCAGGAGAACATGGAATTTCATGGCGTAAACGGCATTCCTGCCGTCAAAGTCCGTTGCTGGCTCGGAGACGGGAACCAGTGCCGACAGGCTTCGATGTAGGGCTTCCCCAACTTGTATCTTGGGTTGCGGCAGATTGCTAGGTCGGCTGTGATTGGGATCCACTATGTCAGCAGCTTATTTCGAGATGACGAGTCTGAGACTGACCTTCGCATCCCACGGGCCGAGGGATTTGTATTAGGCTACGTCTCCTTCTCGTTTGATAACCGACGGTTGTTTGAGATCGCGAAGCAATATTGCGATGTCTGGAGCCTTTGGTGCTCATCTCGGAAACTCGGACCGACATGGCCATGCCTCAGTCGCAAGATGCAGAACTTGAGGCTCAACCGAGGCGTGGTTCTACATCACGGCGAGATAATGATATAACTTCCGTCCACCCAATGCAGGATCGATTGAAGTTGGTCTTCGTGGGGAGACGCTGCGGGACAATCGACGTCCGTGACAGAAACACGGGTGAACTCGTCGACAGCCTCCGAGTTTTTCACCATACTGAACGAATTGATGGGATCTATTGGAATGACAGTCCGGAATGGCTAGGTCCATTTGCCTCTGAATCTCACGCCTCTCCCTGGCACTGGCCTGTCGTGGCGACCACTCAGGGCAGCCCTCGCCAGGAAAATGAGCGGTCAACGTCATCGGCGAGTCGACGGCGACCCTGCTTCCATCTCCACGCCCTTCATCCCCTTCTAAGAAGACCTCCTCACTAACACCCTCGCAGCCGCCCTCAAGATCGCTCGAGGTCATCCCACATCTCCAATCAGTACACAGGCACTTTGAATGCAGGGAACGTGCAGGTCCAGCTGTCATAGCTCGCCTCATCCGTCACGCAGTCGAAGCTGGAAGTGGAGTTGGAGCGCCAGATGGGGCGAGTCGGCCACTGGCAAAGCATCTGTGTCTCTCCAGCGTAATCGCCAGAAGAGACGGTAGCATTGAGCCGCGACGGCTTGACGCCGTTTTCGACCCAGCCAATCATGACCTCCATGTTGTTCTGGGGGTAGGGCCCTGGCTGGGGGGAGTTGGTTCCACAGTGGCCTGCGCCAGGGACCAAGTAGAACTGGTACCAGTCCGCCAGCGCCTCAACGCTCTCCTCATCCGACAGGTCCGGGTACATGATGGATCGCACAGACTGCCAGTAGTGCGCAGAGGAGGCCGCTGGGATGCTGGAGTGGGATTCGCCGTGGTAATGGAGCAGCTTGCCGCCAGAAGACTGGAACGTGGTGAGGTCGGGCAGGGTAGTCTGCAAGGTGTCCAGGTATCGGAACATGCCGGTCGTCATCCAGTCCACCAGCGTGTCGTACGTAACGTTACCCAGGTTCGGCAAGTTGTCGAGGTCAAGGAGCTGGACAAACTTGGTGACATACTCTCCTCCGGTCGACGGAATGTTGAGCTCCCAGGCGCCGGTATCTGAATTATAGGTCGTCGACGCATCGCCGAGTTCCGAGGCAATCTGCTAGGAAAGATACGCCCTTTCTCCTGCGGAGTTGTGCAGCCCGTCGTAGATGGCCTGGGCGACGGCAACGCCCTGTGCGCTGACGGTGCCTTTCTGCTCTGGCTGGTAGCTCGTTTGGCTGCCCTGAGCCTGGCGGTTGACCTTGTTGAAGCCAAACCCGAGAGAGGTGCTGTTCTTCGCGGCGCAGTAATAGGACTCTCCGACGATGGACGTAAGGTTGAAGTTGAGTTTGCAGAGATCGGTGCGAGACACGACCCCGTCGGTCCTCCCGTCGAGCCCATCGCAGGCAGCGATGGTGGCGTTGACGATCTTGCCGAGTTTGCAGGGAGGTGGAAGATAGCCGAGCACCTTTTCCACAGTGGAGGAGAACACGTGGAGGACTTGCTGCTGCGCAAAACGGAAGGCCGGGGCACCTGTGCTGACGCCGTCATACTCGTCGCCCCAGCGCTGGACCTGGCTCATGCCCTCGCGCCCACCGTCGGAACAACCTTGGAAGTACGTGTAAATCTTGGTGTCGTCGGGGAGACCCTAGAAACCCTTGGCGAGGACTTTTCCGGCTTTTGTCTAATAAACCAAGGGTGTCAGTTGGCTCCTCTACTGCCTCTTAACCTGCTGCACATACCATCTCGCCCAGTGCTTGGTAGCCAAACATGTGAGTGGCATTCCAGTTGATGGATCCGTTGCCGTACAGGACAACCTTGTCGTACGAGTTCGACAAGGCGGCGTATCCGGCATCAGTTGCTCCACCGGCGGCGCCATACGAGAGACCTCCTGTGGCATCAGACGAGAGGGAGAAGCCGCCTCCGCCGGCGACATAGAAACGGTTCTTGAACTCGGAGGGACTGGGGAAAGCGTACTTCAGCTTGACCTCATCGCCCTTGCCGGTGTGCGTGTAGGTGACGGTTACGTTACAGTAGGGGGTGGACGAGCCGGAGGAAGCGCCACCACCCATACCGCTGCCCATACCGCCGTCGCTGCTTGTTCCATTGGTAACCGTAGCCGTGACGGAGGACGGAATAAGGTCGAGCCCCAACAAGGTGCCGTTGGAAGGCAATGCTGCTTGTACGTTGGATACGGTGCATACATCGCTCAGAGACAGGGCTCTGGCATTGAGCTTAGCCCAGGCGGCCATGACGATGAGTGGCAGTCAAAAAGGTCGAAAACGAGTGAGTCTTTATGGAACGAACGAAGTCAAGACTTGATAGGCAGTCTTGTCCATCAGTGTCCGGAACGAGGGAGGACGGGGCAGCATTATGAACTTATGAACCCCTTTCTCCTGTCATTCGGATGGGATGGAAACATCGCCGAACGCCATCACGGTCCATGGGAGTACGTATGCTTCCCGTCGTCCGTTTGGTCCTGGCCCACTTTTGCTATTGCTAGGAGTTAATAAGGGAGCCACAGCAGGGCTGAGCCGCTTGTGGCGGGGTGAGTCGGCGAGTCGGTGACGGACCGCATCGTTAGCCAAACTCAGCGTTCCGAACAAATCAAATCAAATCAAATCAGACCCAGGTTTGATTTGATTT